AAAGTACTTTTTGAAGTGGAAGAGTGGATACTTTCAGTTCTCTCAATTTCGTGGCCTAAAATATTTTTTTTTCTGATCTATTTCAGCAGTCTGTTGAAAGATGAAGGCATTAACCTGCCCAAGTCCGTGCCGTCCCTCAAGTCGCCAGTCCTGGCGTCCCGCCCGGACAACCTGGGCACCTCCCCGCTGGGCCAGCCACCAGCCCACGTGACCCACCCGGCCTCCGCCCCCACCACCCCCTCCACCTTCCTCCCCCACATGCCGATGTCGCAGAAACATCACTCGGGCTCCGCCACCTCTTCCCCCACAGCCTCCTCCTCCATCACAACCCCAGTTTTCCCTACAGCCTCCTCCTCCTCCTCCTCCTCCTTCCCTCAGTCTTTTCCTCGTTGTTCCCCTCCTCGGTCGCTGAGTCCGGACTCAGACTCGAGCCACTCTTCCCAGGAGGCTCCCGCTGTCCCGGCGATCATCACTTCTTCTTACGCCGTTGCCACTGCTGCCGCCGCTAGCTCCCCTGCTGTGGCTCTCGCCAGTAATGTCGGTGACCTTTCCGGAGGTCAAGTGTCGCTGGGTCAGAGGCAGATGCTGAGCCCTCTGGTGCCGAAGGGCGACCACGCCCAGATGCCCACCGGGGTTGAGAATAATGCGGTCGACGAGAGTGGCGATGAGGAGAATCATCAGCCGGAGAGCGATGAGAAAGGAGCCGTCACGGAAGACGATTGTGACGTGTCTGAAAAAGCGGAGGATTCCTCCTGTGAGGACGAGCCCGAAGATGTAGTAGATACGAAACCGGAGCAGCAAGGTGCTGTTGTTGTTGGTGGAGAGCGCGCTGGTGAGAACGCGTCCCCCACGCCCTCTGTAGAGGCCTCTGGACACGCCCAGGGAGGGGAGAAAGACGCAGCGGAGGACGAGACCTCCGACGATCATGGCGACACTGTGGACTCGGAAAGCGATGACGTCAAATGCGAGAGCGCCGTCGACAAAGACAGCGAAGACCACCTTGAAGACGGGGAGGTGTTGCCTGCTTCTGCTTCTTCATCTTCTTCTTCCTCTGAAGCCTCCAAAGAGCCCAAAACGGAGACGTCGCCTGAAGAATCCGTGCTGGTTCCGTCTGGAGATGCCGCTCGCGTGGATACCGCCGAGTCTTCTTCCATGCCCCTATCTCCGGGCTGCTCAGCAGCTGCAAATCTGTCGACAACGACTCAACAGCAACAACAACAACAGCAACAGCAACAACAACAACAACAGTCCTCCGCTCAAACGGCGGCCAGCACCACCCTGGCTGTGTCCTCACTCACCGGGACCTCCCCCTACGCTCACCCCCTCTCCGTCTCTGTGCCCGCCAACAACGTGCGGTCGGAGCACATCTGGGTTCCGCCCACGTTATCCCCCCAGTCTAAACTCCTCAGCCCTCACCACCACCACCACCACCACCACCACCATCAACAACAACAACAACAACAGCATCAACATCATCCACAACAGCAACAGCAGCAGGCGACGCCAAACTCTCTCCACCAGCCCCAGCTCCCCCCTCCCCCTGTTGCTCACGCGCCCCACAAATCGCCGGCCACCTCGGACGCCTACGAGTTCAAACCGGACACCCATCATGATTTCTTTCTGCAGAAATCGAAAGAGGCTCTTTCATTGTCGTCGTCGTCGTCGGGAGAAGACAGCAGAGGCCACAAGAGACATTTTGATTCCGGTAAAGGCCTCGGAGGTCATTCCGCTATGGTGAAAAATGAACATTCTCCCAGCAGCGGTTTTTCTTCTTCCAGGGACCTGAAGCACAGTAGTTCGTCAGAGAAGGATTGTGTGAAAAGAGAAACCCAAGAGCACAATGGTAATAACTTTTCCAAGCCTCATAATCCGACTTTGTCTTCCTCATCGTTTCCCTCCTCCTCCTCGTCCTCCACCTCATCCTCCTCTTCCAGTTCAAGAGAAAGGGAGAGAGAGGAGAGGAATAGGCAAAGAGCGAGAGAGGAGCGTAACAGGAAGGACAGAGAGAGGGAAGAGCGCCGTGAACGAGAGAGGCGAGAAGAGAGGGAGGCGGAGAGGAAGAGACAAGAAGAGAAAGAGAGACGCGAGTCGGCGGGTAGAAGCCACTCCGAGAGCGGGAAGGCACACGAGAGCACAAGCTCCACCCCTTTGGCCGCGCACTCTATGGATTTAGCACGTCGCATGACAGGGGGCGTGGCCGACGCGGCGGCCTTCAGCGACTACATGAGGGTGTTGGCGGCCGGCCACGGGCACACGTTTTTGTGAGTACATGCACCACCTTCTTCTGTAACTGTTGTTCTTGAAAGATTTGAATGTTGTCTTGTTCAAAGGTGTTTTTACGTATTTATATACGTTTATATTCTCCTGTCTGTCTATCTGTCTGTCTGTCTGTCTGTCTGCCTGTCTGTCTGTCTGTCTGTCTCTCTTTCTCTCTCTCTCTCTCTCTCTCTCTCTCTCTCT